CGAGCACGGCGAAGAAGAAGAAGAAGAGGACGAGGAGTAAGAAGAGTCTGCCTGGGAAAATTTGGGCGAGGAAGCAAGCCGCACAGAAGCCCAGGAGGAAGATCCAGAGGCGGTGGCATGGAGTAGAGAAGAGATCGCGGCTGGTAAGCAGCCGCTAGAGTATGCAAGCGGAACGAATCTGCCGATCTCAGACGATCCGACCAAGGATCTGGAGCCGCCCAAGCTAGAGGATGGGGACCCAACTGCCGAGACTTCGAGCGCACCAGCCAGGCGGCGGTGAAACCGATCCCCCTCGCCCTCCACCTCCACCCGTCCGGCAGTTCGAACTCGTACCGATGCAGGGCATCGGGCTTCGTCCCCGGTCCTTATCCAGCTGTCCCCTTGATTACCTCACCCTCCGCCAGATCACCACCCCCGTCACCTTCCCCCGCAATCCCTTTCCAATCGACACCTTTCGCTTTTTCTACGTCACCCGTCTTGGTGTCACGGTTCATCTCCATCCCTCTACCCGGTGTGCCACCCTTGTCTTCTCTATCCAAGCCCTTCTCTTCAGTGCCGCATGGCGAGGCCACAACATCATCGAGGTCTACTGCATGATCACGTGGAGTATCCCCGCGTGTGAGAACCACGATCGCTTCCGCGTGGCGGTCTTCCGAACCTTCACCACCCTCTACCCCGACTATCTCGCATCCCTTCCTCATAGTGGCAACCGATTCTCTCGCTTTCATCGGATCATCCGATATGAGGAGTTTCCGGTGACAGTGGCAGGAATGGAGAATTTCGTACCCCCGCTCCCGACTGACCCACCCCCTCGCCATGCCCCCATGTATCGTCTTCCCTTTTCCCTCCCCGGCGGTCATTGATGCACGGTTGATTGGCGCGTGCCACGACGATGGCACAAATAGTAATCCCCTCCTTGGATTGAAGAGAGCCCTTCCTCAGTAAATTTTTTTATGAGGGAGCCACGTTTGCCACACTGGATGACTTCCACACTCCTTTGCACGGTTGGTGGCAACGTCGAAAGCTCCACGTGTCGATCGATTAGAGAGATCCACACGTGTCGTAATGGCAAGCAAGCAGGAGCTTGCTTAAGATTGGAACCCCCTGGGCGTCACATATGTGACGAACCAATTTCTGTTCCGCGCGATCTTCTGCACAATAGCAATGAGGGGTCATAAGATGGGAAGGATGGGCCAATTACAGGAGATCGGGATCGAAGGGAAATTGCATCAGTGTCCTCGCTTCTTCGTCTTTTTGTGTTGCTTCTTTTCGGATGCCATTGGTTGGGTTCCGGGCCAGACAAGTCCCGAGATGGCCGACAAAGGGGCTGTCGCGCCGACAAAGGAGTGATTAATAATGTTTGACGTCGCTTCTTCCTTGTTCTGTGTTGGGTTTTAGGCGCAGAGGTTGCGCAGGAAGTTTTGCTTCTTTTTGAATTTCTTTTTTGAATCTTGTCGAGTGGGCAGTTACCTTTGGCACAATCCATCAACAGCAACAACGACGAGGCTATTGTTACTTCCGTCAATAACGATATCAAGAACAACGGTGGCATCTTCAACAAGATGAACAATAGCGATGGCAACATCCTCACTGACGACGTCACTGCCACTGTTACTCCCATCAACAAAGACAATTACAACAACAACAACAACAACAACAACAACAACAACAACAACAACAACAACAACAACAACAACAACTACAACAACAACAACTACAACATCGACACCAACATAAACAACAACATCAATAGCGTCAGCGGATGCATCTTCGACAACGCCAACATCAACAATGATAACAATATCACCAACAACATCCTCTCCTCCACTGTCATCATCTACAACGACGGATTTGTCTGGTGGATTCCCAGCAAGGCAGCTCCCACCACCAGTTGATTCTGTTCAACGGGTGAGTGCTCACCTTCCATTCGGCCTCCACGTGATGTTGCGTTTGCCGTCGGCTGTTGCAAATGCATGCCCTAGAGAGTGAAAACCGGTGGGTGGGGTGAGAAGGGGTGGGATAGATGGAGAGGAAGAGGAGAAATCTGCACTCCAAATGGCATTGCGGGGTTTGATTGGGTCTCTGTTAATTAGTGTCGTATTAGGGAGATTAAAGATGTAGTGCTTAGGGTTTGCCTAAGGTTTGCCTGGGATTATTGATTAAGCCAGACCCTGCCATTGCCCCCCTCTCATGGTGTTGAATGGTCCACACAGCGGTAGATGAGTTGAGCTGGGCAAGGTGATGATACTAGGGTTTTGATGAGCCGTTAATCCCCTTGTATGAGGGCAATCAATGATGCTCATCAGTAATTGTCTGCGCATATACTACCTACAAACAAGTCTGTTCGAACAAATGATGACAACGTTCGCATCCAGGAGGCTGCGCCTGTGTGGGTTCCATTTTCGTTGTTTCATGCTCTTTCTATTTTCGGTAAGGTCATGTAGTACAGCTTCGCTAGGACAGGCTCGTTTGGGGTGTCCGACAGCAAAAAATAGGGTCCGGTCGCAGTCGTCCCTAAGACCGGTTGTAGGGCCGGTTATCTTGTCAAGTTCGTTGCAATTTAGTATAGGGCGCCGTCCATTGTTTCCCTTTTGAGGGATAGACTTTTTTTCCCGTTGCAAGCTGGGGGCGGGCGAAATGGGTCCTGGCGGGCTATTTGGGTGCGGGTAGTTTCGTCTTTTGTTTTTTTTCCTCTTCTACTGCATCTTCCCAGAAGTACAGGATAGAAGCATTCTGCTGTTTACTATGACCAAGTAACGAAATCTACAACGGACTGCCCTGCAAGAAAAGAAAAGAAAAGAAGAACGTACTAACTTTCACGAAAAAAGAAAGAAAAAACGTACTTACCTTTGCCACGAGAGCTGTGGAGATCCAAGGCCTTGCTCAACTACTGACCAAATGTGCAAAATGAGCATGAATCTTCTGGTAGAACATATGTGGATACACTGCTAGTAGTTTAGAGCTTGAAGTGCCCTGTTTCCTGGCCACATGTGGGGTGGTACAACCCTCAGGAGCTTGCTATTCGTTTTTCAGTTTGTTTGTTTTTTTCCCCCTCCTGAGGTACAAGAATCTGGGCTCCATCCAGCGGCCTAGCTCAATTGGTTAGGCACGCAAGCGGCATTCAGGAGGTTGTGGGTTCAATCCCCATGGCCGCCTGTGGCACTCTTGGTGCCAACAAACTAAGATTGTCAGCTGGATCCTGCCAGTCGGTACCAGTAAGGTCTTCCGCCAACATGGGTGTGAGCAGTGCTGTACCCCCGTTCGCCGTTCAAGGGGTTGGTGAACGGAGGCCGGTTGACTGGTGGTAGTTCAAGGAGTTCACGGAGAGCGGGATCGGGTTTTAATTTTATTTTTTGGCTGGGGGGGGAAGGGGGGGTTAGGGTATTTCGATTCTTTAAAATTTTTCTAATGTCACCATGCCATGGGGCTTGAGGTGACTGTACCAGGGTGAGCCCCCAAAAAAAAACAAAAAAACAAAAGAAGCACCACTCTTTGATGGTCTGGCCGTTCACAGGCGCAGGACCAAATGACCGGCCGGACATGTTCAAGCGACCGGTGCCGGTAACGTTCACGGTGACGGCACTGGCTGTGAGTGTGCGTGTGAGTGGGTTGCGTGTGGGAGAGTGCTGCCTTCCGACACTACCGTCCAGAAGGCTGCCCATCCCCCACTTCAGAAGACCTTTGCCAAGCTTACTGTCTAGAACAAAAAGCATGCTAGCTGAATGGACCCGCTTTCCAGCAGGTGTCGCTCCCCACCAATAGATGGGGCCTCCCCGAGAGTGCTAGTGGTGTATACTCCAAGGAAAAAGAAAAAAAAGGAGGACCCCGGCCTCTCACTATCTACAAGGGACTGTGGGCCCCGTTCCCAGCACGTGTAGCCCACCACAATTTTTTTCTTTTTCTTTTTTTTAAGGCTTATTCTTTAAGCCCAACCAATTCAATTACCTGTCAAATTTGGACAGGACGGCCTTTCAGGCCTTTTTTATTGTCATTATAGTATTACGGGGAACCCTGTAGCAGCCACATCCGTGCTCAAGCCTCCAACGAGGGAACATGAGGGAGCTGCACCCACCAGCAGGTGCGATACTTGCTACAGCAGGTGGGCGATACTGGCCAGGGGTCAGCCGGTAGCATCAGGACCGAGCTTCTTCGATGGGCTTGTCACTGTGCCTCCTCTCCGGTCCCCTCTCCCTATGAACATCAGCAGTCTCTGCTCAATGCCACTCGGGGGGACCAACGGCATATCTCTAGGTGGCAGGCACCAAGCTTGCCCAGGAAGGTGCATGACGCCAGTGGGGATTGAACCCAAGACCTCCTTAATGCCACTTGCGTGCCTTACCAACTGAGCTAGGCCGCTGGATGCCCCCCACAAATAGATAAGGAGCAACGTTGTGTCACAAAAAAACAAGAAAACATAAAAAAGAACAATGGGAATCGTGCATCCGGCCAAGGTCCGAACGCGCGCTCGAGGCTCGCCGCACCACATGCGAAACCCCAACATTATGAATGTATCTAATCCGACAGTGGAACATGTTGCCGTTTCCTATCACATTGCGCTGACTGGCCCCAGAATCATGTTAATGATATTATTATTATTTTGGATATTATTGTGTTCATCTGGCTGCATCTGGATTCGAACGTGCGTCTAATACTTCAACAAGGTGTACGAACTGAGGGCATATATTCATACTATAGCACTTTCCTGAATGTATCCTAGTACAATTACTTGAATTACAGCCGAGCGTGAGCTACCTGGTAGGTCCATTGGTTGCCCGCCTTTTTTCAGTCGCTGGCCTCCGGAAGGCCGAAGGGTGGTTGATACGCCAGGTTTAAGAACACGGACGTGCCTACAGAATGTAGCATCGGACTCTCGCCTTCAGCGTGCTTGTGAGGGCCGGCGAGACGAGAGCGGAGGGGCAGGAACTGTATGTGTATGTGTGCCCGTAATTGTGTAAACAGGCGGGGTGCTGCGCTTGTGTAGGGCGTAGGCTCCCGTCTGAGCGGGGCTTGTGCCATAGCGAGGGAGGGAGAAAGGACGATACTGGTGTGAGGCTGTTGGAGAAGTCGGGCGGAGGGGTCAGGAGTGAGTCCGAGGAAGGAGGTGAGCAGAACAGCAGCGCTGTAAGGTTGAGCGATGGCGGGGTCTTTGGCTGCCGACCTGGTCCCTCGGCCGGAGAAACTCCCCGAGGTTACACGCATGCACAGCATGACGGATCGGGTGAARGGCTCCCTCTCCGAGTACCGCAACCAGATCATCCTGCTCCTGTCCCGCTACGTGGCGAACGGGAAGCACATGCTTCAGCCGCACGAGCTGAAGAAYGAGCTGGAGCGCGTTGCTGAGCTGGAGTGCTTCGCCGGCACGAAGATCAAGGAGAGCGCTTTCGGCAATCTGTTGCGTGCCACTCAGGAGGCTGTGGTCATCCCTCCTTACATCGCGCTGGCGGTGCGTCCGCGCGTGGCCGAGTGGCAGTACATTCGTGTGAATGTGTTCGAGCTGACGGTGGAGCAGCTGAGCCCGTCCGAGTACTTGGAGTTCAAGGAGCGTCTGAAGGCTGCTGATGATGCCGCCGCGCCGGTTTGCAGCGACTTCGCCACTCTGGAGATCGACATGGAGCCTTTCAACGCCAACTTCCCGAGGCTGACGCGCCCTTCGTCCATCGGCGAGGGTGTGTCTTACCTGAACAAGCATCTGTCCTCTCGGATGTTCAAGGAGCCCGGA